CTCTCTCTCTCTCACACACAAACACATGCAGGAGAAAAAATTGTTGAAAACAAGTGGATTGAATGCTTTTTGCGGAGGGGTTGGCTTAGAACGAGCCGATGGGAACAGCCATGCGTCCACCGCCCAGTTCCTCCTGACGGATGCGTGCGTTTTCGGTTGCAATCGAGTGGTACATCTTGGCCTTGACGGCACGATCCTTCTCGCGCGCATACACACGTGCGATTGTCTCGGCCACCGCCACACCTCCATTCGCCACCCCCACCGTCGCACTTGCGGGGGCCGAGGTGGTGATTCCGCGCGTGACGTCGTCGGCAGCCATGGCGAGGTACACCCGCCTACTGCTCGCCAGCAACTGCTTCTTGGCCGCCCGCTTGCCACTCGGACTCACCCCACTACTAACCACAGCCCCACCCGCACCGGGAGCCAGAGAGGCCTCGACGTCGCTCGAGATGCGGATCACACCGTTCACCTCGAGCATGTCAAACACGCCCAGGAGCTCCGAGCCCTCGAGCGGCGAAAACAGCCCGTTCTCCTGCTTGAGCACCGCGTGGTACGTCGACTCGACATCCGCAATGCGCAGCCCCCCACCCGCCGAAACGCTCGTGCCGGGGCTGCCAAGCACACCGAGACCCTGCTCGGCACGCGCCTGCGCAACGAGCACGGCAAGCAGCACGAGCTTGGGGTGCACACCCAGACTGCGCACCTTGGACAGGTTCGGCGAGCCCAGCACCGCAGTGAGCACCTTGAGGATGTGCGTCGGCGTCGCCTTGGGTGCGCTTGTGCGCGTGAGGTGGCGCAGCACCGTCGCGCGTCCCGCCGCATGCTCCTCGGCCGTCGGCGCAGGTGCAGACGCTGGCGCCATGTCCTGCTCCGACGCCGCCTGCTCCGACACCGTCGCGGCGTTGGCTGCAGCCTTGACGCGCTCGGCTTCAGCCTCGGCGACCGCCTTTTTGCGCTGCTCGTTCTCCACCATCTCCACCGCCAGACGCGCGGCATCGAGCGCCTTGCGCAGATCACCCGTCGCGCCGGCGATCTTCTTGGCAAGCAGCTCGACGGCGGTCGGGGTGAAGAGCGGAAGCGCGTCTGCTTCGGAAGCCGCCTGCTGCTGCTGCTGCTGCTCGTCGCTGTCATCGTCGTAGCGCGCGTGGAGGCCCGAGAGACGGTCGCGAATGACCGAGACGATCTCGTTTGCCTCAAAGGGGCGGAAGTGGAGCAGGGCGGGGGAGGCGCCCTTGCTGGCGAGGAGTGGAACGAAGCGCTCGGTGAGGTCGAGCGAGTTGGCGATGCCGATGAGGCTGCAGCCGCGATTGTTGGCGCAGGAGAAGAGCTTGTAGAGTATGTTCTGGTGTGCGCGGCTCTGGAGGAGGTGGTCCATCTCGTCGAGGACGATGAGGATGCGCTGGTTGCCGTCGCGGATGAGCGTCGATAGTTGGGCTTCGGCGACGGCGTCCGACTGGCCCTCGGCGGCGTTAGAACCGAGCGCCTGGAGCACCTTGGCAAAGATGAGACGCGGATGGGAGAGCGTCATGCAGTTGACAAAGGCGACGCGCGGGACGAGGCGCGCTGCGGCCGACGAGCCCGTGGACTGCGAGAGGCTGTTGAGCACCGAACGCACGAGCGCCGTCTTGCCGGTTCCGGGCAGGCCGCAGACGTAGAGACAGGCGGCCTCGGAGTCGCCGTCGAGCTCGACGCCGAGCGCACGCGCACGCTGCGGGGCGTCGGCAAAGAGGCCAAAGGATTGGCTGAGGAACAGCTGGATGGCCACGCGCTCGGACTCGCGGCCCACCACCTTGACGTGATTCTCTCCGTGGCTGGCAGTGGTGGCGCCGGTGATGGTCAGGCCGGCCTCTGTCTCTGCGGGGTCGACACCAGCAGCGTATCGGAGCAAGGCCCTAGCGTGGGCGTAGACGCTCGAGTACCTGTCGGCAGCGGCCGACTTGAGCATGGCAGCGTGAACGGGAGGCGAGACGTCGCGGTCCGAGGAGCAGGATGAAGTAGGTGCCGAGGAGCTGCCTGCGATGCTTTGGCAGTCAAAGAGCGAGCTCTGCGCCGAGTCCTGGGACGAGAGTGGGAAGTAGGAGCCGGACAGCTCGTCGGGGGTAGCGAGACTAGAGATGCGAGACGACGAGGGGCTGTCGAGGAGGTGGGCGGCATGTCGGCGAGCGGTAGGGGTGTTGAGACGGAGTCGGGAGAGCGGGCTGGCGGGCGTGGCGGCATCGTCTGCGTGCTCCAGGTCGAAGTCGTTGCGCGATCGTTTCCTGCCCGAGGCTGAGAGCGCCGAGGGTCGACGGGTTGGAGTGGAGTCTGTTGTTGTGCGACTGGTGGGCGAGGAGCTGAATACGTGTTGGTCCGAAGCTGTGCGCGTCAATCTCCTCGAGGGGGTTCTCGGGATGGAAGAAGCTGACATGGCGAAAGTGCGGTGTGTGGGGTATCAAAGTGTGTCGGAAGCGAATGGCGAGGTGTGCAGGGTACAGATATGCAGCGATAGAACAACAAGGATAGGAGGCAATGAGAGACAAGATCGATGCAGAGAGGTGGGTTGGGAAAGGCAAGAAGGAGGAAAGGGTGATGAGGATGGTGAGCGGCGTGAACTTGGGAAAAAGGCATCTGCAGCAGGTCTCGGGCACTTTGGCAGTGAGACGCGGCATTTCGAGAGCCAACGCGTAAATTGGCGCGTCGCGGATTGACAGACAGACAGACAGACAGACAGACAGA